CATTATGTTACACCCGTGAATTTTTTATTTGAATATTTGAATGTTATACCTTTTCAAATATTTAAAATATTTAGAATAGCCAATTAAATATTTATAAAGTATTGTAGATACTAATTTGTTTACATTTTTCATCAATAATACCAGAAAAAATTTAACAGTGACTGTAATTTTTGAAAAATAATATAATATAATATATTATTATAATATATTATATTAATTTGCTGCATTTTTCTATTTATTTTCCATTTCATGTGCATTCATTTCATGTTTCTTTTAATTATTTTGCAAATATATGCAAATACAGTATACTACAAAATTTCGAGTAAAAATACAAAATTTCGATACTACAATAAGATTTTAAAATAATCAATAGGAAGATAAAAAATGAATAAAAATATTAATAAATGAAGAAATCGACTGATACTAATGTATGTATTTCACTACGAATTGTATGAAATATGAAAATATTAAATTGGTGTATGCATGTGATTATTAAATTCATTATTAATTGTAATGAAAAGGCCTTTAAACTTTTCATATTTAAAAATTAAATTTACATAATATATCAATGATAATTTTTGTAACTTATACAATTTTTAAATAAATTTTCTTATATATATTAAAAATTATATTTTATATTGCAAATCATTTATCTAATATGAAATTTTTTATTCTTTACTATAGATATACTGAAAAATTGTTAATTGTAAATAGTTTGACAGAATTCATTTATGTTAGGTTTTGCCAGGTGTATGCATGTGATTATTAAATTCATTTAAATATTCAATTTTATAATAATAATATTTTTGCGGAAAATTATTGAAGAAGTGATTACAAAATTGGGAAATATGATGGTAGTTAGTTACTCCTCCTCTCATCGTCTGTATATAATTGTGGATATTAAAAAATTTGCTTATATTTTCAAGAAAAAAAAACAAAAAATCATTGAAAACGTCTCTCGAATGTAATTAATGATTGATTATATTTAAGATATTGCAAATAATAATAGTAAATAAAAATGATTATAAAGTTAAAACGAAATTATATATATTAAAGAAGGTTTATACAATCGATAAACATATTTAAATTGCCTAAAGTAAATGGTAGTGAACAGAAAAATAAAATTTTTGGAAAATCAGTTTTACTTGCATTAATGTTTTGTTTCGTAATTCCCCTCTCTCTCTCTCTCTCTCTCTCTCTCTCTCTATATATATATATATATATATATATATATATATATATATAAATGTTTAATCAAATGAATTTGAATCTACCAAAATCTTTTTTATTGAAAGCTTATAAAAACACAAAAGAGACCGTATACTTTACTGTAAAAAGAAATGTTGATATAGGAATTAAAATATTAGAATTAAAATTTAAGAATCTCCTTAGAAATGTGTAGTTAATGTCACAAATAACACCAGATATCTACATTTATATCACAACAAATATTTATAACAATATATTAATAATATTAGTTATGAATAATTCTGTGAAATATTTATATTTTATTGTAAATGTAATAACAGTTAAATTTTTAAATAATTAAATTCATTAAGTTATAACATATTTTTAAGTTAATAATTCTGATCTTTCATAAAAAAGAAAATTTATAATATGGAAAATTGGAAAATTCTCATATACATAAAAATGTGGTATTTATTTAAATGTAAGAACTATTTATTTTGGTTATTATAACACACCTAGTAAATGCTCCTGAACCCTTATATAATTTGTTTCCTAATAGAAGAGTCGATTAGTTATAGCTGAAATTGTAGATTAAATTTTTTTCATAAGAATTTTTACTTTTTAATTAGTGAATAGCATTTGCTATACCATATATCGAAAAAATATAATATATTACATTTGAAATACAACGTCAAGAGCTGTTGTATTAATTGTAAGTCTTTAAATATTAACTGTAATGTATAAATATAAATATGAATTATGTATTTAGAAAATTCAATTAGTTGTTATTATACATAGTATTTATTATTTCACGTAACTTTAATAAAACGATCCGTATCTTTTTATTAATGACCAAAATGTTTAAGAAATGGCCTATTTTTCACTTTACAAATCATTTTACAAAAATGTATAGCATTGAATAAACAGTTAAGTTGAGGCCATAGAATTTAAAGCTAATTTTTTTCCTTCATCCGCAACCTATAATGTATATAATAAACGCATGCGTATACGTATAGCAAGAACAGTGGCCGACCATAGGATGATCTAACGTTATAAAACAATGAAACATGTTCGGAAGCAAAGGCGAGGAAACAAAGATAGACAGAAACATCGTGCAAATGGATGCAAGGACGTGAAGCGTGAGAGGTTTCGCGAGGGATTTTTTTAACGTAATCAAGCTTGACTCTCTCTCGCTTGCTCTCTCTATCTGTTCTGTACGTTTTGACCTACTTATCGAAGGTCTCGGGATTGCTTTTCTCGTATGGCGCGAGTGAACAGTGTGTAATTCGGGCTTCGTACAACTGCGGCGCTACGTTCGTCTTTACCGTTTCTCCTTTAACTTTTCTTTGGTTTGAAGAAAAATTACGTGAAGAAAAACGATAGCCTACGCATTTACCTTTAAGTCATGTTTCTCTCGTAGAAATTCTTCGCTCGTTGATGCTTTTGCCACAAATTATTTCAAATGCTTCTATTTATGTAGAAAAAGTAGACTAATAATAATAAGTGTATCTGCTGTTATAATGACGCGAACTAGCTTTCAAATACGAGTCTTTCCTACTTTTTCTCGTATGATTTACAACTGCCAGCTCTTAATCCAATGAACTATTGTTGCAAGGTACATGAAAGCATGATTTGATTTTTATGGGCGATTTGATATCGATTATATAACGCTACAATCACTAAAAATATTTTTAAATAACATAAAATATGCAATGATATGCTGTGATCGTGGCATGCGTATACATGTTTATAAAAAAGGAAATATTGGATTTAAGTATAGCTATTTTTTAAATGTACTGAATCCATAATCGACTGGTTCTTTTATGAGCCCAAATGTTAAATATATTTTCAAACTATTCTAGTTTGTTGTATTTTAATTGCGTATTACAATTCAAACTGTTGCAAATGTATCATGATCTTTCCTATTAGGTATTTTCAATTTAGAATGTTATCTGATAAATCAAAATACTTTGTCGTTTAATTTAAAGTATTAATAACTTTTATAATTACAAAAATTATACTAATAACATTATAATATTAAAAACTAACAATAATTTTGCAATTATAGTTTTTTACATAAAATAATATCGTATTCTTGCAATAGATTTTACAATAGAACTCTTTCGGTATAATTTATAAGTAGAAGGCTGATGATAATTTTTAAAAATATATGTAATCAATAATGTAAACAAACTATGTATATAAATTTTAATATCATTAATAATCTTAAAAAGTAATTATGATGTTTCTTTTTAATTGTTTATGTTTATCACTGGATTTTAGTACGTAACATGTACTGAAACAAACGTTAAAAAATGAAGTGAAATTTGTTTTTCATATGATTATAAAGATTTAGCTGTAAACTACAAATATCAAAAACTTTTTTTGCATTACTATATCCTCATTTATCACAAATATAAAATTAACATTGAATGACTCAATGACAAATATATTGCAAAAATGTAAGTTACATTGTTAAATAAAGTTGTAGTTATATTGGCTGTGGTGTACCCTTTTCATAATTTTGAATCGAGATTTTACCTATATAAATTATTTTTATCTTTTTATTTTTAGGTAGTTGGTGTACTAAATACATGTAATGAGAAAGATTTTAAAAAGAAAAATCTGAAAATAAGTAATTTTACTCTTAAGTGATTTAAGATGTTATTGAATCTTAATTACATATTTTTACCAGAGATAATCACTCCTCCATACTGGTAGTACTTAAAATTTAAGTAGTACTTAAAAATTTTTCATAGTTTATTTAATATATGAATTCTGTTTAAACTAATGGGATGTGTTTGTTATTACAATTTTTTTTTTATAAACTAAAGAATTACATTTTGAAATATAATTAGTGCATTGCCCAAATAATTTTGTAATAATTAAATAATTTCAAAAATCAAACATTGAATTTTAAAAAATTTATAGATGATAATATAAATTACCTTTGAAAAAGTAATTTTTTAATTTCAACTAACACATCAAGTCAGATTATCTGAAACAATCAGATCAATCAGATTATCTGAATGGTAAAAAAATAAATATTCACATACAATTTCTTGTTTTCTAATAAAAATTTATGAAATAACTAATTTGTAACAAAATAATGAATTACCAAAAACAATTTTTCAACGTTATAACAAATCTTCATTATTTAACAGAAATTGAAATTTTATATCTTTACAATATTTTTACTAAAACTATGCATTATTGTAAATTCATCGAATGAAAATAATTAAAAAAAAGTGTTTTCTTTGTAAAAATAACACTGTTTATATTTTATAAATCTAATTCATATATTTTGGTTTATAATAAATTAAAATAGGTAAGAAAAATTTTGAATTTCGAATCAAAGTATAAGGAATTTATATTTATAAACGAAATGTTTTCCATTTTAATATTTTAATATAATTACATTACTATATATTGTCAAGTTCACATGGTGAAATAATTCAAGTAAGTTTATTTCTATTTCACTTATTTTTATATATAGAGAATGTGTGAAGTGTACAAAAATTGTAATAATGTTTTATGTTAGCTTTTTAAGTAAAAATAATTGTCTTAAATGAAAAGTTTGCATAAGAGAAGTACTAAGAACAGTTGCAAATAGGGAAAAGTATGCCTCGTAGAAGAACTGATCGGTTCATTATCAAGTTTTGTTTAGATCCTTATAATTTTAAAACAGAAATAAAGAGAGAGCGAATAGATAAATAGATATATTGAGCTATTTATAAAAGAATAAATAACAAAATATTTGAATTATATAATGGAAGCTATATTATTCAAACTATGATTATAATATCTATCAATCAAGCTTAATACAAGTTCCTTTCGATGTTGCGACCTCAAAGTTAATGGAGAGCCAATACCCAGTTTAAGTTGTTGCATTGTTATCGCTCTTATGGATTCAACTAATATTTTTTCAACTCCAATAGTGAACCCCGACCGTCACCCACATTCTAACTCTTCGGCGCCGTTCCTATCTTCATGGACCGCTTGTGATAGTTCAACTCCGACAACCATATCCACATGCGCGCAAGCGTCGTCCCCCTTGTTGGGACAATACTTTTGCAGTCGACATAGACCTGGTTCCGTAAGTAGGTCAGCCCCACTGCTGCGGACTTTTCTGACCCCCACCCAGACTGCACATACGCCCCCACATCCCGTCGGCTCCGACAGCTCCCTCCTACCTTCGCACACAGCGGCGCAGCGTACGCAAAGCACCTGGTGGCATGTGCCACCGTCGCCGCCATCACCTCCGTTGCTGCCGAATCACTTTCACTTATGCTGCGCGCGTCGGGCCGTGTTCTTGTGCAGCTTTGGCCCGCGCCACCGTAAGAGACGCACACGAGACGCGTCAACCGCTAGCAGCGTTTTCCCTTTCGAACTCAACACATTGCGGCCTCCAACTTATTTTGAGGGTGTTGCGCTGCCGTCAGTTGTGTGGCTACCCACGGGGCGTCAAGTGAAGTAGTGTCACCCAGGAGGGGAGCTCCGATAAGGACGGAACGAAACAAAAGTGGGGGGGGGGGCTGATAGACGAAGAAAGAAAGAATGAGAGTGGCCGCGGCCCTTCAGGAGAGTTCGAATGGCGCGCGGGAGCTAGTGGAATAAGGAACGGCAGTAGAACTGCATCGCGTATAATACAATAGTAGCAATTATATGAGTAATATCAGGAGTAGATTAATCAGTCTCGATAATAGCTGTAATAAGGACGAATAGTCGCAACAAAAATTCGGACGCGAAGTGATCGGTTGTGTGTATGTGACTCGTACTTGAATCAGTGATTCGATGACGCGACTGCTCCAGAATCGGTCTAGTGTCGTCGTGATTCATCAGTGACGTTCTTCCTGGTCTTTCATTGCATTTCGGCAATAATCAGTTGCGCCTTCAAGGCGCGTCTTTGCGACGGTCACGGCTGCATGTTGCGCCCGGGGTTAGATAGTACTCACCCGATATGTTATTGGAGATGGAGCAGCACTCGGGCCTCATATCCCTCAACATGTCACCGTTTCACCTGAGCCCCCAGAGCAGTCCTCAGGATGCAGGCAGTGCGTCTCAACAATCCCAACAATCCCACCAGACTCATCAGTCCCACCAGTCCCATCAACCGCATCAGTATAGTCCCTCAACCTACGGTAGTTGTGTGCAGAGCCCGGGCTCGAATCTTTGCCATCAGCAACAATCACAGTTAGGCCAGAGTAGCCAGGGACCGACAAGCTCACATTCGGGCCCACAGCAGCAACAGCCTACACAGCAACAAACACCCGGGACCATGTCTGGCTTCGAAGCTGTTTTCTTTGACGGAACCAGTCTCGAAGAGCGTTGTCCTATGTGCGGCGACAAGATGTCCGGCTACCAATATGGGCTCCTGAGCTGCGAGTCCTGCAAGGGCTTTTTCAAACGCAATAACTCGCCATGCAGTAGCAAGAAAGTGTACACGTGTCTTTTCTCGCCGACAGGTGGCGGGGGCCCCGGCGGCAACTCCACCGGCCTCGAGCCCAACAGCTACGCCGGACCCACGTCCGGCGGAGGTGGCAGTGGCACCGGAGGTAACACTAACGGTGTCGGCGGCAATACCAGCAATGGCACTAACAGCACCGGCAACGGCAGTAGCAACAATAGCAACAACAACAGTGGTGGTGGTAACGGGAGTACGGGCGGAAATGCTAATGGCGCAGCGTCGGGCGTCATGTGCCACCCGGGCCTTACCGGTCAAGTCGGTGTAGGCGTGGTCACAGGCTCAATATCCGGACCATCAGACTTTCCTGACACGAAAGACGTGATCGAGGAACTTTGTCCTGTATGTGGCGACAAGGTATCGGGATACCATTATGGCCTTCTTACTTGCGAATCCTGCAAGGGCTTCTTCAAGCGGACTGTGCAAAACAAGAAGGTGTACACGTGCGTAGCTGAGCGATCGTGTCACATAGACAAAACTCAAAGGAAAAGGTGTCCCTTCTGCAGGTTTCAAAAGTGTCTCGAGGTTGGCATGAAGTTGGAAGGTGAGTATCTTGTATTTTCTTTTATCTCTCATCTTCATTCTCGTTCCTTCATTTTACAAGTGCATACGATGTATGTAGTAGCACGCACAGATCTTTAAAATTTCTGTATATCTCTTATATTTCTTTCTCCCGGCTTCTATCCGCCCCCCCCCCTAAATTACACACACACATGATATATATATACAAACATTTATATATATATTTATATTTATATATATATATATTTACATATATATATTTCACCTTTTATCTATGTTTATTTATGTATATTGATTTTCATTTTCATCTCTATCTTTGTTTCATATGAATTAAGATATCATACTAAATTATAATAAATAAAGTATTTTGTTTTTTCTCAATAGAACTGGATTTATTAAATGTAATTTTATAATTTTGAATATTGCATTAATGTGAATTAAATTAAAATATGAAAAATATTAACCAATTTTATTTACACTGTGGTAGTTGTTTTTGTTTTCACTTTATTTTTCTCCGACATCTGTATTTCTATCATTCGTTTTGACTAAATTTGTATCATCCCATTTATCAATTTGAACATGAAAAAATTTCTGCAAAATTTTGGACTTAACAATCATGTGTTATTAAACAGTATTTACACTTTCCATATTTTATTATTATTTTATTGTTATTTTTTGCGATCATTAAAATTTTACAATGCAGTATGCTATTTCTTGCGTACAATTTTATTTTACGTTTCATTCATTTATATAAAAATAAATTATTTTTATAATCAATTTTATGATTATAATATTCACATACAAATTAAGAATATGTTAATACTTAAATAATAAAGAGTATTGTTATTACTGAATTATAGATAAGTGAGTTTTATTAATTATAATTGAAAAGGTTTCCACTTAGTTATACATTTATAAAGATATAAAGTCGTAACAACTTATTATTTTCATCCAAATAAAAAAGGACAATATAAAACAATATATAAATGGATCATAAATATATAAAAAATGCTGAATAACATATATGATTACAAAAATATTAAAAATAATAAGAAATATTTTTAAGCTATATAAAAATTAAGTATATTTGTGTAACCAATAAATTAAGTTTAAAACATTAGGAATTAATTATTTTTACATTTATTTTACAATTTTAAATAAGATTTGTTATTTTCCAACATATCGGAGCAAGTATCGTAAATATATATCAATAATATTACATTCTTTATTCTTGTGTCACGGTGGTGCACATATTAACTTGCATTCATGTACAGTCGGTATGATAGATTTTATATACCAACCTTTAAATATCATTATTCAATATAATAAAATTAAAATGTTATTCTTGTTTTAAATTATTTATATATTAGTCGCTACTTTTTACATTTGAATAGAAAAATGTATCTATATATATGCGCACATATTTATAAAACTAAATTTATATTAAAAAATTATATAAATGATGGGGATTTTAAAAATATAATTTTGCTTTAAATATTTGAAGATTTAAATATATTTAAATCTTCAAATTTATATTTATCTTATAATTTAAATAAATTTAAATTTAGTAAATTTTCTGTCATTTTCATAATATTAATTTTATATGAAAAAATTTTAGCGGAAAGATTTTCTATGTACATAATCTATTACAAAATTATCAAACTATCAAATTAATAAATACCTCAGTCTTCATTAACATCTAGGAAAAATCACAAATTCAATATATATTTAACAGTGAAAAGTATCACTTTTTTCTATTATAAATTTAGTAATATTTGTGTATATTTTTTAAAATCTTAAAAAAATAAACATTTGTTTCTATAATTTTCTTTTTACTTCAGTAATAATAATTTTTATTCTGTTGCTATGTATACATTTATAAATTAAAATTAAAATTTTAATTATAAAGTTTATTAATATCATAAGCAAATTTTATGTTGCATTAATTCATAAAAATACTAATGGCTCATTTTATAATAGTTTCCGATTGGTTCGATTCGAAGGTTTTTAACATCTGAAACTAAAATCTGTTAATATATAATATATAACAATTTACACAAATATAAATTAATATTGGATAAATACAATTCAATGAATAAAATTTTAATATATAAAATTTAAGAGAAATATATTATCTTTAAAATTTATTTGAATTTGACTTAATAAATGAAAATATATTAGTATAAATAAAATTATAAGAAAATGTATTGAAAATTTATTGTCTCTTATATGCTACAGTATTTTGAACAACTACTATATACTGTTTAGATCGACATAAATGCAATAAAAATAAAAACATTATCAGTTCTCTTTCTTTGTCTATTTCACTTTGAATTCATTATTAATTCGTAGCTCCGTTTTAAAATATTGTTATTACTAGTGTTACATAATATAAAAGTATTTTAAGTTGATGAAAAATAAAAACACATTTTTTATTTATAAATTTCAATTACATATTTTTGTTTAAAATGCATTATTTAAACTCGATTATTTTCCTGTTGTACTTTTACCAGAAAGTTCTTTTTTCTTTCATTCTAACGTTTATCTATTTTCTTTTTTAGCTTCATACTTAATTAGTTTAACAGAAATTAGTTAAATTGTTATTTCCTTAAAAAAAGAAATGTAATTATTAATTACTTTTAGTGTAGAATATATGTAATGTATTTGTAATACATGCATATAAGTAAAAATTATGATAAATATTTAAATTAAAAAAATAATTTGAATTTTATGACATTTTATAATACATAGATATACCAATTTAAGACATATTATTTTTCGTGTCAAGAATACATTGGTATAAAGTTATAAAAAATAAAGTACGTAAAACCACTCAAAACAGATATAAATCTTTATAAAAAATCATGATTCATTAATCCTTTTGCCCTTATTTTTATTTATCCAAATACTTTGTATTTACAGTATTATCTATATTAGAATTTTTATATTTTATGTTTTCTCTAATTAGCTAATATTTTATACGTTTAAATTATTTTTTGTAATGCATAATTTGTTTTTGAATAGATACACTAATACAATTAAAGTTATTCTTTTAATAATTATATAAATTAATCAGTCTCTAACACGATTTATGATTGATGTTATAACATTATTAAAACAAATATTAAAAATATACAACTTATATAATTTATTTTACAATTTTTGATAAAGCGTTAAATATGTAACAGAATTTTTAACATATGTTTAATAAGTTAAAAGAATAAGTAAATCAAATGAGAACTGTGGTTTATTTTTAACATTTAATTTTAAACTGTTTTTTAGAAAACCATAACATCCAAAATATTTATTAGATTAATAAAACTAGAAAATACAGTTACAAGACATTGAATAATGTTAATTTTCCATTTAATAAAAATAATTTTTTTAATTTATTAATATAACGTTAACTACGTCATAAATGAGTTTTAATCATCTCTGTCTCGTCTTCAATGAGCTATACCTTTCTTATTTACATATTATTTTTCAAAAGATATATCTTCATAGCTATCGCAATATATATTTTTTGTTATCGTAAACATTTCAAGTTTTTGTTATTTTCTATTCCTATGCAGTGTACCAAGGTAAAGTCATTTTATATGTTTTTATAAGATGCATACGCCCCTTTAGCTTAATAACTAATTAATATGTAAATAAAGTAATGGAAATTTTTCTATCTAGAATTTGTAAGCGAATGCAAATAACATTAATAACAGAATTAATTGGTGCTTTTATTGATTCGATTAATCAGTTAAGCTAATACTAATAAACAAAAACAATGATGTTCATGTGCTACATGTTATTTATGGATTCTGAATAGCAGTAGGTTCAAAAAGCGACGAAGTAATAAACTGATCGAATGGAAGTGACATGAGTACGATAGACGTGTTATATTAATAAAAATAAAACGAAGGTGAAAGAAGAATTATGAAATATATAGAACTTGATATCTGGCTGACTTCTTTTCTCTCCTTTTTTCACTTTGATAGCGTCAATGCATCTAGTACGAACGACATTCGATGGCTTCGCATTAACTCTCATATTCTCGATATACTCCAACGCACAAGATGATCGCGTTTTACTTTTTATTGCCTTTAGATTTCATTTTTGTTTAATGTCGCCCAATTTATTCGGTCTAATGTAGCCAATTATCAATTTAATTTCAAGTTTTTATATTGCTGTTCCAGCATCTAAGATTTCAAACATCCGCTTAAAATATGATGTTTCGCTCATGTTGTGTATCACCGCGCATAACGTGCACTATAAAGTACCATGGATCTTCTAGAGTGAGTCTTGAATTAATCGAATAAAAAAGGCGCCAAATATTAACTTGGCTGATTCTCAATATGTCAAATAAACCGAATTAACTTTGATGTAGAAAGATTTGAACTAAATGTCAAAAGGTATTAAAAATAACCAATTTTAAAATAAAATAGTTATTACATTTACTTAAGAAAATCTATATTACACATTCTTAGTTGATCATTTATATTTATTCGTATTGATAGCCAATAAAAGCAAGAGTAAAGTATTAAAAAAGTAAAGTCAGCAAAGTTGAAAGTTTAAAAATAATATTTGATAAATTACCAAATTGAATTCTTTGAACATTAATAATGTTGATTAAAATTTAATTCATTACATGAAATAATTAGTTTGATTATTAGAATATTCGATAATAATTTAATTACAAATTTATATTAAAATTTAAGTATGAATAAATTAAAATTTTTTATTTATAGTTCAAAAACAATTTTGGAACTATCTGACTATCCGACTAATCTTTTGATGTAAAAATGAAATATAAAATAGCGTCTATTATTTAAAATATTGATGAATTTCATTTATTCCAGTGTCTTTGAACAAAAGTGAGAAAACGAGAGGTGATGCATTATAATTTCGTTCTTGAATGAAAACTAGGTCCTTCAAAAATAGAAGTCTTAAATTCACAAATAAGTGTTTGTAATTTCGAAAGTATAAAAACTCATAGGTTTTAACACATTATTGTATTTTAAAGCATGTGTACGT